CAGGATCCCATTTGGCAATCCAGGATCCCATGGGATGATCCAGGATCCCATTTGGTGATCCAGGATCCCATTGGAGGATCCAGAATCCCACTGGGTGATCCAGGATCCCATTTGGCGATCCAGGATCCCATGGGATGATCCAGGATTCCATTGGGTGATCCAGGATCCATTGGGTGATCCAGGGTCACAGTTGGTGATCCAGGTTTTCCTGCTTTTCCCTCCCTCCTGGCTGGATTTGGAGGACTCCAGGGGCTGCCTTACCTGCCGAGGCTCCGCAGCGCCGCTCGCATTCCCGCCGGGATGGGAAGCGATTCCCGTTCCCTCGGCATCCCCCGAAAAGGAAGGGCCTGCAGGCCTTGGCCTCGGGGTGGAAGTACCAGAGCAGGGAATAATCCTGGCAGGATCCCTCATCCATGGGCTGCAGGCAGGAGGCTGTGGGAGGACATCCCCAAATCCCAACTCACGTGTTGGATCCAGGTGGGAAAAGGCCCCGCGCTCTGCCAGCCCCGTTTTCCCAGGAAAACATGTGGATTTGGTTCTGGGAAAAGGCCACGCTCTGTCAGTCTCGTTTTCCCAGGAAAATGTGTGGAGTTGGGAAAAGGCCACACTCTGCCAGCCCCATTTTCCCAAGAAAATGTGTGGAGCTGGGAAAAGGCCACGCTCTGTCAGCCCTGTTTTCCCAGGAAAACATGTGGAATTGGTTCTGGGAAAAGGCCACGCTCTGCCAGCCTCATTTTCCCAAGAAAATGTGTGGAGTTGGGAAAAGGCTACACTCTGCCAGTCCCGTTTTCCCAGGAAAATGTGTGGAGTTGGGAAAATGCCACGCTCTGCCAGCCCTGTTTTCCCGGGAAAATGTGTGGAGTTGGGAAAAGGCCACGCTCTGCCAGCCCCGTTTTCCCAGGAAAATGTGTGGAGTTGGGAAAAGGCTACACTCTGCCAGTCCCGTTTTCCCAGGAAAATGTGTGGAGTTGGGAAAAGGCCACGCTCTCTGCCAGCCCCTTTTTCCTGGGAAAACATGTGGAGTTGGGAAAAGGTCAAGCTCTGCCAGCCCTGTTTTCCTGGGAAAATGTGTGGAATTGGGAAAATGCCACGCTCTGCCAGCCCCGTTTTCCCAGGAAAAACGTGTGGGGTTGTTTTAGGAACCCACCATTTAGGGATCCACAGCCCCACATCCCAAAGAAACGGGGTTGGCAGAGGAAAAAGGGGAAGCAAGGACCATGGAGGGCATCCAGCAGCGCATTCCCGGTGGGAATAACCCACCCCTGTGGCGCCTGTGACCTTTGCAAGGAGGGGATGAATCCCTGAATCCCGGGAGGAGGAGGAATGCTTGGATTTGGGGAAGTGCCTGGAGGACTCTCCCTGCGGATTTTCCTGGTGGGATCCAGATGGGATGAAAACCAAACCTTTGGATCCCTCTGGATTTCCACTCCTCAGCTCCAAAAGCCTCTAGGACCTGGGAGTGGAATTTTGAACGAATCCTTGAATTTTGAATCCTGTTTTTTTCCCCTGTTGTACATTTTGGGATGGATCCTCTTCTCCTGCCCAGGGAAAATGGCCAAGTGGGGGAGAAGGTGGGATATTGTGGGATGAGGGGAATCCTTCCTGCTTTAAGCCAAGTCCTAAACCCAGCTTTAAGCTCGGCTGGCTCAGCCCCCTCGTCCCTCCATCCCCAAAAAAATCCCTTTCCAGGCAGGAATTGGATTCCCTAAATGTCACTTTGCCTCACCTGGGAATTCTCTGCGGATTCCTTGGCTCTGCTCCCGATCCCTGGGATTTGTTGCCTCCTCTGGAGTCGTCTCTGCGGGAGCAAATGGAAATGACTCTTAATGAAGCCACACAAACTAATTAACCCCCCCTGCTTAAAACAGGGATCGGTGGAGCCTTCCCGGGATAACGAGTCCCTCTTAACGAGGAGCGGAACAATAAAACCCCTTTAATGGGGTTAAACAGCTCCGGGGAAAAATGGGAGCGGCTCTTTGCGGGGAGAGAAATGTCAGGGCTGGAGCTTTGGAAAGCTCTGGAGCCTTTGGAAAGCTCCGGAGCCTTTGGAAAACCCGGGAGCCTTTGGAAAACCCGGGAGCGATCGTAATCCGGCGGCGATACGGGAGCCACGGGGATTTATGGGGCGGGATTTAATGGGGTGGGAATGGCCCCCGGATCCCAAATCCTGCCCTGGCAGGAAGGGAATTCAAACCTTGGATGTCCAACACCGACCTCAGGAGAGGCCATTCCTTGCCCTGGGAATTGTCACAGGGAGGAGAAGGTGGGATATTGTGGGATGAGGGGAATCCTTCCACCCCAAACCAGGGAAATCTGAGCTCAGCGTTCCCAAACTGGGCAGGAGACTTTTAAGAACCCCCTGTTTTGCCACTGGAGCTGCTGCAACCCTTCCCAAGGGCTGGAATGTTGTCCCATGGAGGATGGGACCCTCTGGGCTGTGTCCAAATCTTTGCATCCCT